CTGGTCTTGAACTCCTGACTTCAGGTGATCTGCCCACCTCGGCCTCCCAAAGTGCTGGGATTACAGGCATGAGCCACTGTGCCTAGCTTAATTTACATGTGGCTGCAGCAGCAAGCCAGCACGGTGGGGTGCACACTTGTTGGCTGCAGCAGGGTGTGGGCATTCACCACAGTGACAGAGGCAGCATGGCTTGGGGAGGGTGAAGGACCCCTGATGCTTACTGTGCACATGGTCCCACTGGTGGCCGTGTTGGTAGGGAGACAGGGCACTGGTAGGTGCAGGTCTGTTTGTGCTGTGAGTCACAAGCAGGGGCGGTTGCTCAGCATAGGGGAAGGTCTGCTGTTCTCTGTGCCTAGTTTCACTCCTGTGGCTGTGTTTGTGCGGGGGAAGGGTGCTGGAGGGTGCAGTGTTGTATGGCTCTGTGCCCACCAAGGTTCCAACTGCAATGCCCGTCTTGTGAGAGGAGGGGGTACAAAGTGCACTTCCCCACTGAAGCAGTGGCAAGGCAGGGCGCATGCACAGGCACACTTGCGAGGCTAAGAAGGCAAAACCTGCGTGTGCAGACATGTGCCTGCAAAGTGATGCAGGTGGGAGGTGGGGGGTTGCTGAGTATCTGAGGGATGCTGCAGTGTGGAGAGGGAGCAGGCCGGCTGGTGCATGACCATGGCGGCTGCCTCGCTGGGGCTTTCTGCGGGTTAGGCACAGTTTGCCAGTGCAGGAGCTATGATGTGGGACCCAGGGCACCTAAGGTTCCCCAGCAGACGAAGGAGTGCTCAGGTCAGACCAGTTCTGTTTGGTGGGCAAGACCACCCTGTAGAGTTTAGGTCCTATAGTTCCCCTAGGGCTAAAATCTCCCGTAGGAACAAGTCGAGCCTAGGGGGATGGGCGTCCTTGGCTGTGTTCTGTTACAGATGCTTCCGTACCAATCCCTTTGGCCTACACATCAGCTGTTGTGCTGGCCCCTACCACTTCTCTAAGCAGCTCTTTCTGCCAACTTGAGTGTCCATGGTGGTTGAGGGGTCTCCTCTGTCAGAATTCCTGAGGCCCGTGGTGAAAGCGGGTTGCTCCTTGCCAGTTCAACTCACCCATTCCCCCAGAGTTGTTGGGGTCTGGGAGTGAGTCCCAGTGCATGGCAATCCCATGCAGGGTTCTCAGCTTCCTCCCACTTCAGCCCAGCTTCTGTGTCTTTCTTCTGTCCACTCTCAGTACCTTCCCCCTGAAGATCTGTTAGGAGTGTGCCGGTCATCTCAGTCCCGCAGTGAAGGCTGTTCCACCTGGCTGTGTCTAGTATCTCTTGCCCAGCAAAGTCTTCATGCACAGTCTTTAAAAATTTGTTTATGTAGTTGAATTTATTTTGCATTATAATTAGGAAAGTTTTTCCCTCATCACTTGTGTTTCTTCTAGTACTTTTATCATTTCTCTTTTTTGAAAATTTTCTACATTTGAATCTCTGATCTTTTTAGAAGTATATTACTGTATAGATAGGCTAAAATTTGGATCAAATTTTAGACTTCCATTTTGTTGTATCTGCATATTGCCAATATCATCACACTGTTTTAACTATTATGATGTTTTTAGAATGTATACGTCAATAGCTTTCTTTTTTCCTGAAATATGAATAATTATGAATTATTATTTTTCTCGCTCATGTGTATCTGATTAATCTTGATTATTATTCTTGCTCATGTAGTCTGTAGTTAATGGAATAATGGCCCAGCCTCTCAGTCCTCTGTCAGGATGATTCTAGGGCATCTTCCACTTCCTAGATAGTTCTGAACAGGCTTACATCCCAGTTGCCTACACTATTATTGTTCTCATTAACACCTGAATTATTGGCTGCTTTTCTCCCTTTTTGGTCCTACTTCCTCACTGTGCCTCCTACAGTTGCCTTCCAAATAAAGTACAAGTCTTTCCCTAGAGGTCTGCTTTTGGGAAATCCAAACTAAGAAAGAGTCATTTTTGGATTTTGACCTAGATGTAAAAGATATCAAACATTGTTACCCAAGTATGTTATATATTTGTGTGTGGTGGTAGAGAAAGAGAGGAGAAAGTAATGTCCTGTCCTAATTTAGCTGTTCAGATGTAAGGTTTTAGCTTCTTTTCCTGATTATTGCCCCATGGCCCGTATCTGTTCTTTATATTCTTTAGACTTGAAACAGTTCTGGAATGCTCTTGAGAAGAATGGATGTCATCTCCCAAGATTTGGGTTGAAGCGCCCTCTTATCTATTTTCTCCATTAATTCGATCTTATCTGTTTTATAGTTTCCAGGATTTTCTCAAGCTTTTCATATACTGCTGGCTTCCTCTCTTTCTTTCTTCAGTGTCTGGATGTATATGTATATATCTATATTGTTGAAGCAAAATTTATTTGACATATTTACTGAAGAAAATTTAAAAATACATTACTCATTAATGAAGGAGTCAGTAATTAGATCATTTGAGACAAATACAAAATAACCAGGAAGAAAATTAGCTTAGATACATCAAGTTTCTAAGTAGGCACAGACTGCTATTTCACTTCATATGGCCATAAAAATATCCCATGCTTATTAATGCTATGGAGGACTAAATTTGTGGAATGGATGAATTAGAGCTATTTTCTACTTGCCAGATGTCAGTCAGTAATTGGAAATAAAAAGTAACATATCTGAGAAGAAAATAAAATGTGAATGAATCTCTGACTAATAATTCAATATACTTAGCAACAGTTTTGGTCTTTTAAATCATCTGACAAAAGGCCAATTAGAACAGAGGCAACAATGAGAGGTCAGCACAATTAGGACTATTCACCACCCGCAAGCAAAGATGCTGACCATACAGTTGCATAATTCTGTTTGGAAACAAAATCTATCTCTCAATCTCCCTGTTATCTCTCTCCCTCCATTTCTTTGGTTTAGTGAGTTTGTTCACCCTGCCATTTTCTACACATAACATATAAAATTTTATATTCTACTGTTTTACCAAAAGTCATTTAGTAAATATTTCCTCTGATATCACATATTTTTAATATTCATTAGTTTTAAAGACAAATAGTAATCCATACAGTGACTATATCATTGTTTATGTATTCACCTGCAAAGGTGTTTTTTGCACTTTGAAATTAATAAGTGACCTGTGAAGTGATATTTTGAAAGTATAAATATGCTATTCTTCAATAATTGTTCACCTATGACTTTATCATGCATTCATGAAACTGGCCTAAATCAGCTATTACTATGGGGGTTACAAACGTTTATGCTTTGTTTCTAACTACATTTATTAGTTGGTGTTCTTCTGTGGAGAAGAGCTTTCCTTTCCCCATTTTTATTTTAATTTCGTATTGGTATAGGTTCATGAATTTAAAAAAATTAATGTGTTATAATATATTCCAGTAATTATTTATTTTAATTATCAAGTTCTCATAAGCTTCCATTGCTTTTAAAAAACTCCTTTTACTTTAAAAGCCGGGCGCGGTGGCTCATGGCTGTAATCCCAGCACTTTGGGAGGCCAAGGTGGGTGGATCACAAGGTCAGGAGATCAAGACCATCCTGGCTAACGTGGTCAAACCCCGTCTGTACTAAAAATACAAAAAATAGCCTGGCGTGGTGGTGCACACCTGTAATCCCAGCTACTCAGGAGGCTGAAGTAGGAGAATCGCTTGGACCTGGGAGGCAGAGGTTGCAGTGAGCCGCAATCACACCACTGCACTCCAGCCTGGGTGACAGAGTGAGACTCTGTCTCAAAAAAAAAAAAGTAAAAAAAAAAATGTATATTTAAGGCATGCAACATGATGTTTCGAATATATATACATAGTGACTTGAATACTACAGCCAAGCTAATCAACATATCCATCTTTTGACATACTTTATTTATTTATTTATTTTTGAGATAGAGTCTTGCTCTGTCCTCCAGGCTGGAGTGCAGTGTGCGATCTCGGCTCACTGCAACCTCTGCCTCCCATGTTTAAGTGATTCTTGTGCCTCAGCCACCTGAGTGGCTGGGATTACAGGTGCATGCCACCACTCCCAGCTAATTTTTGTAGAGACAGGGTTTTGCTATGTTGGTCCAGGTTGGTCTTGAACTCCTGGCCTCAAGAGATCCACCTGCCTTGGCTTCCCAAAGAGCTGGCATTACAGGTGTGAGCCACCATGCACAGTAAGTTACCTATTTTTTTTTTTTTCTTTTAAGACAGTGTGAATTCTTAAGACCTAGTCTCTTAGCAAATTCTAAGCATACAATACAGTATTATTAGCTGTAGTCTGTGTGCTGCATTTGAACTTACTCATTCTATGTAACTGAAACTTTGCACCCTTTGACAAGCATCTCCCCATTTCCTCCACCTCCTGCCCTTGATAACCACCATTTTATGCCGTTTCTAGTTTGAGTTTTTTAGATTCCACATATAAGTAGGATTATGCAGTGCTTTTCTTTCTGTGTCTGATTTATTTCACTTAACATGATGTTCTCCACGTTCATCCACATTTTCTCATATGGCAGAATTTTCTTCTTTTTAAAGATTAAATAGTATTCCATTTTGTGTGTGTGTATGTGTGTGTGAGAGATTTATTTATTTATTTATTTATTTATTTATACATATGCTGACAGGCTGTTTTCATATTTTGGCTATTGTGAATAATGTGGTAATAAACATGGGAGTGCAGGTATATCTTCTTAATTTTTAATTTTTAATTTTTGTGAGTACATAGTAGTTGTATATATTTATATCTTTGAGATACTGATTTCACTTCCTTTGGATATATATGCATAAGATAGATTGCTGGATTATATCTATTCTGGTCCTTTGTTCCTTTAACATTTGCAGTATTTTAAGTTTTTTTTTGGTTGTCTATTTGCTTAGGTATTGTGTACACTTAGCCTGTGGACTTTTGTTCCAACTCAGTAGATTTTTTCCAGTGAAACACAAAGGTAATTTTTTTCTGGTTAATAATTAGCAAGAAATTCTGCAGAGTGATAAAAAAATCAAATACTCAGTATTTCAGAAATAGATTAAATAGGTTACTTTTTTACTGGTAATGTGAAAGAATAATATAAAAACTTGATTTTCCTCAACAACATTACTTTCTTTTGTAAATGTGGTTTCTAGAAAGATGAAACAATTACAATTTACAGGTTTTATTTTTTTCTTGTGTTTTTTGACTGAATCCCTAACTCTGCCCACACAACCTCAGGATGTAGGTAAGTAATTTATTTGTATATCAGCTAAAGAATGACCAGTTAGGATGTCTCTTTTGAAAATTTTGTTTTCTTTCAAGTTAATTCTTTACTTGCTTTTTTCACCCTCTCACTAATTTACATAGACTAACCAGTTATCCAAAATTAACCTTTTCAGAATTTTTATTTTGATGGTAATTTTTATATTACTAAGTCAATATGAAGAAACAGTTGTCGCATCTGAAAAATAATCAGCAGTCTATGACAGGACAGAAAGTGTTGCTGGGAGACACATTTGGATTTTAATATTGGTATTTTTTGCAAATATGTATAGTTTATGGTAACAGTGGAACAATAGATGTGAACTGGGATTTTTCTGGAACCTTCGGTTGTCCAACATATTTCCCAACTATATCTTTAGGGAATGCAGAACCTACTTCCTCCTTCAAATGTACAGTTTGAACATCCCTCCTGAGCCTGGCCAAGGCCATCTCAGTCTGGAGGAAAGGATGACTTTTTATATGTCTTCCATCCAAAGGGGAAATATTTTGAACCTCATCTGTCTAGAGGAGGTGTCTTTTTCTAATCCTTTTGGCCTAGAAGGAGCTCCTTTCTTTGACTTGAACAAACATGCCTTAAGCTTGGCAGTGGCCCTGAAGGCATGGATTGCGCCTTACTCAATTTGATATGCCCTTTCAATACCAGCTAGTGAGACAGGCTTGAAGAGTGGTCATTTTTGAGTTTTCCTGCTCCTTTTCCCTTGTAACAACCTGTTTCAAAATCTTGATTTTTTTGCCTTTTTAATATCTTTTGTATCTATATTTTCCTTTTCATTTCCCTTACTCCTACCAAAATTTAGATCTTGTTGGTTTCTCAATGTGACAGTTGCAAAGTCTCCTATAGCCTTCTTACTTTGTCCCATCCACCCTTCTTTTGCCCATTTATTTGACACATAGTTCTTTCTTACCTTTTTTATTTGTCAGGCACTGTGGAAAATTCCATGACATTAGATATACCACTACCTGACTCGTATTTCTTCGTGTATAGAAATGATCAGATTATTATCCTATATAAACATTTTCCAGGGCTTTCCACGTCTTCCAAATGAAGCCCACACTCCTCAGCTTTATATGCAAGACTCCTATAATCTGGACCCACGTCTTTTCTATCTTAGGTCCCTATTCATCTTTGTGACCCACTTTCTCATAAAAACAGATTGACTTTCCCTAAATACTTCTCAAGATTTATTACCTTAATGCTTTTACTCACATCATTCTCTCTCCACACAGACAGACAAGGTTTTTCATTTTTCTGTTATTCGAATCTCTTACATTTACTCATGTTCAACTCATATGTCACTCTTCCTATAATCCTTTTTTTTCTTTCTTTCTCACCCAGGATTCATAAAGCAGTCCCAAATTAATCACATTCTAAATTAGATTATTGTCACATGCACAAGTAACTTTGCTTAGGAACCTAATGTCAAGGGGAGATATCTTAGTCATTGTTAATTGCTTCATAGGGTCCAGCACAACACTTTGCAAAAAATAAATGTAGTTTATGTGAACAAACATAAATATGCTCCAATTAGCATATGCTCATTGGGAGAGAATCCATAATTTTAGGTGGATCTGGAGATGACCTACATAGCTATGACTGATTAGTGCTATAAACTATGCTGACCACCAGCATGCTACAGTATCTCTCATCAGGCTCTGTTACGGCATTGTATCACCCATTAGTTAATCTTTTTATCACTTCTCTAGTCATAAATGATAGACATTTAGGATGATAATGTATTTGACATTTGTATGTGGGGAGCCGTCAATGGCAAATTTAAAGTCTAGTCAGATTAAGATTTATTTAGTTGAATTCAATTTAGTAAATATTTCTTGAACACATAATCACAAGTGATTAAGGTTTCCTATTTTGTTCATATGACTTACTTGTTTCTTGTTAAATATGCAAAACTATCTCCTGTCATCAGTGGTCTATTTTGTATTTTATACACTTAAATGTCATGTATAGTTATTTATTTGAAAAATGTTAGAAAACCATGTTATGTAATACCCTAAATATTCTTGCTTTTCAGATAACTTCAGTAGCACTCAAAAATTTATAGAAGAGAATCTTGAATACATGTGAGTTGTGCTAAGTACTTTTTGATGATGATTTTTAAAATAATGATATATTTTGGAAATGTTAATGCTTCTCAAAAGTAATTTAACTAAACAGAAACAGTATCCAAGAAGACAGCTTTAATTATAAAATTCAGGCAAAGCCTGAAGTTGTAAAATTTATAGCTGTTACAATAGATAACTTCTTGAGGCCAGTCAGGATGTTCCTGTGACTTTTTGTTGGCCATACATGGAAACTCTGCAACTGATCTTTGTATACCCCATGTGAACTCTTGCAGCACCATCATTGCATTTGCTCAGTATGTTCAGGAAGCAACCTTTGAAGAAATGGAAAAACTAGTGAAAGACATGGTAGAATACAAAGATAGATGTATGGCTGACAAGACACTCCCAGAGTGTTCAAAATTACCTGTAAGTAAATTGCATGTGTTTCTTTTCCTTTTTCCTTTTCTTTCTTCTCCTCCTCCTCCTCTTCCTCCTCCTCCTCCTCCTCCTCTTCCTCTTCTTCTTCTTCTTCTCCTCCTCCTCCTCCTCCTCCTCCTCCTCCTCCTCCTTCTCCTCCTCCTCCTCCTCCTCCTCCTCCTCTCCTTCCTTCTTCTTCTTCTCTTCTTCTTCTTCTTCTTCTTCTTCTTCTTCCTCCTTCTTTTTTTTGAGACAGAGTCTCACTCTGTCACCCAGACTGGAGTGCAGTGGGGTAATCTTGGTGCACTGCAACTTCTGCCTCCTGGTTCAAGCAATTCTCATGCCCCAGCCTCCCGAGTAGCTGAGATCACAGGCGTGTACCACCAAGCCCAGCTAATTTTTTTTTTTTTGTATTTTTAGTAGACACGGGGTTTTGCATGTTGCCAGGCTGGTCTCAAACTCCTGACCCCAAGTGATCCTCCCACCTTGGCCTCCCAAAGTATTGGGATTGCAGACGTGAGCCACCATGCCCAGCTAACAACTGCTTGTGTTTCTTAAACACACAAGATTATTTGCCCAACACTGCAATAATTTCTGGCTTGAAAATATGAAATGAAAGATATTCTGCACACAGCATTTTCATTTTGCTTAATTTTGATGTTTAGAACAAGGTACTTTCCTCGGGAAAGATAATAATTCTGTATTTTGATGCACAGAAGGAGCTTGCTGTTTATTTGCAGTATGTATACAGTATGCCCTATATATCCAGGCAGAGGAGGAAGTCATAGCCTGAAAATTTACATGAAAGTACACAGCTACCTTCCTTAGCTGCCTCTCTTAATATGTATTCTATTGTGACATCCCTTTTCTGGGCCTCCTCCAAGAAGAGTCACCATCTGCATCTCCAAAAAACTACTACTAAACACCACTTCTAAACACTCTACCAATACATTAACATACCAGCATGTCATCACCTTGGGAGATGAGTAGAAAATCCTGGTGGAAGGGAAATGTAGGCAGCAAGGGAAGAGTAAGAGGTTAAAGTGTCTTTTGATAGATAGAGGGACAAAGATTCTGAAAGTGCAAGATGGTTGTCAAGGGTTTGGGTAAAGATGCTTTGATTTGGCACACCTGTACTCCCAGCTGTTTAGGACACTTTGGCTGGAGGACCGCTTGAGCCCAGGAGTTCAAATCTAGCCTGCACAGCATATCAAGACCCATTCCAAAGAAGAAGAAGGAAAAGGAGAAGAAGAAGAAGAAATAGAAGAAGAAGAAGAAGAAGAAGAAGAAGAAGAAGAAGAAGAAGAAGAAGAAGAAGAAGAAGAAGAAGAAGGAGGAGAGAGAGGAAGAGGAGAGGAGAGGAAGGAGGAGAGGAGGAGAGGAGGAGGGAGAAGAGAAAGGGGGAGGGCAAGGGGAAGGGGAAGGGGAAGAGGAAGGAGAGGAGCAGGAGAAAGAGCAGGAGAAAGAGAAGAAGCTCTGTTGGTAATGGTGGGAAAATTATTCATTGTGTTTTCTTAGCGAGTACAGAAGCTTTACTTTACCATGACTAAAAATTGTCCTTTTCTTCTCTATTGTATAGAATAATTTTTTACAGGAAAAAATGTGTGCTATGGAGGGGTTGCCACAAAAGCATAATTTTTCACACTGCTGCAGTAAGGTTGGTGCTGAAAGAAGACTCTGTTTCTTCTATAACAAGAAAGCTGATGTGGGATTTCTGCCTCCTTTCCCTACCCTGGATCCTGAAGAGAAATGCCAGTCTTATGAAAGTAACAGAGAATCCCTTCTAAATCAGTAAGTTTAATCTTAGTAAAAAAATGATCCAATTGAAGAATTAGTCTTAGGCTGAATCTAATACCTATCTCAAATAAATATAGCTGGGTTCATTAATTTATTTATTGATTGTTTCATTCATTCAAAACACACTGTGTCAGATACTGTGCTCGTTGTTTAGGATATAACTATGATCAAGATATGGACCCTGCTTACAAGACCCTTATATTAATGAATTGTATCTTCTAATTAGCAAGTCCTAGAGGAGAGGTGTGTGCCTAGTGTTAAATTGGTAGGATGCACAGTGGAGGAAATAATAGACTCTTCCCAAGGGGAAGTTGCAGTTTTCACCTCAGGCAGACATTCAATTATGGGATGTTTAGCAAAACATCTGTTTTTAATATAGTGCAGTCATTGCAGAAGCAATGACTTTTTCTGGAAGTTTGGTATGCTCCTTGAAATCTAAATCTAAATCACAAGTTTATCTGAACAAAAGTAAACAGGACCCCTGAATCTCAGATAGAGTGTGTATAGATAGCTGTTCTTTGAACATGGAAGAGAGAACTGCTGACCAGCTGGTAGCATGTGGATGGAAGGAGAATAGCCACAGCTCAGTGTTTGGGATTAGAATTGCAATCATCATTCCTACTTTGGAGTTAGCAACTTCAATAAGGACTTCAAAAGACTCTCATTGGGAACTGGATAATGCTGCCTTATGTTGAAGTTTTCTATAACTGGAAATCTTTCTTCCTTTTACCTTGTTTTACAACTTGCTCTTCTTGTCTCTTTCTGTTTTTTCGTTTCCTTCTCATCTTACCCTCCCTTCACTTCCCTTGTCTACATTCATTGCTTTCCTGTTTCTTCCCTTGCCCTTCTTCTCTCTCTTTTTCATTTCTTAAATAGTTTTTTATATGAAGTTGCCAGAAGGAACCCGTTTGTCTTCGCCCCTACACTTCTAACTGTTGCTGCTCATTTTGAGGAGGTGGCTAAATCATGTTGTGAAGAACAAAACAAAGTCAACTGCTTTCAAACAAGGGTGGGTATAGCATTTATTTCATGAAGAGGGTAAGAAATCACTCAATACCACAGATCCAGACCCTGACTTATATTATAGCAAAAGGCTTGCTTACCATATATGATGTTCTCTTGTCACATTCAGTGATTTTCAAACCATTGGTCACCAGGTTCTGATCTAAATATTCTCTTTACCTGAGACTCCCGAAAGACAGTCAGTCATTTCCAGGTTCTCTCTTGCTTTGTTTTCTTTGTAAATTGGAAGGAAGCCTTGGTGAGTGAATGTCAAGGGTGAAGGATGACATTTTATCTTTTATCTTTGACAATTTGTAGTCTGTTGACTACAAATAACATGGAATAATCTCAATAGAGATGGCCAAGCTCACAGCATGCTGCCCCACCAAGGGAGCACTATGCACGTTTTTACCAAGTGCAATTAATCATCAGGAAGACTGGTCCTACCTTTATGATGTGCCGTAAGTGCATATTTCTTTTAATAATGTATTTACTGAAATAAAAATCCGTAGATTTTCTGTCTCTGAACAAATTTTGTAATAGTTTGAATGAAATGTGACTAAAAAATAAGGGAATAGTGAGATTTTGCTATTGTTTCAAAAGAATTTTCTCTTTCTTCTTCAGGCAATACCTGTCATACAATATTTAAAAGCATTTTCTTCTTATCAAAAACATGTCTGTGGGGCACTTTTGAAATTTGGAACCAAAGTTGTACACTTTATGTGAGTTTTACACTATATATCTTGTCTCTGCTTGCATTTGTACCCAGGGGCTTTGGGGTGAGTCTGAGCCTATTTGGATAGCTCAGGACCAGGACATTAGGTCGAGATGAGAGAAGTTTTGGGAGGTGGAGAGACCCAAAAGAGAATGGTGGCTGTATCTGAGACATATTTAGGCTAATTGGGAATCTGAACTGCTCTGGGAGTTTCAAACCAGGGTTTCAAAAGCCACAAGTACTTTAGAAATAATTCATCCCTTGGTCTTTGACTTTAACAATGAGGAGACAGCCTTGCAAAGATAAATTTTATCTCTAGTGCTCACCCTAATCAATTATTAATGGGGGCTAAGGCAATATCTTGAGAAAAATTTTGAGATTTCAAGTGGATCAGCAGGAAAGAGTTCTGTCATGAATTATCTATGCCTGCCATGAATTTACAATAGGAAGTGGTGGCCTTACACAGCATGTCTTGCTATAATAATTATGGAAGATAGCACACCTCTCAGGTTTTTTTTGCTCACATCCAGGACTTTGGGGTTCTTAAAATATCACTCTAAGATTTTCAAAGTGATCATGTGGGCTGTGCACCAACTATTTGATAAAGACTTCTATAAAAACAACAACAACAACAACAACAATGGTGGCAATACTTTTTGGAGCTATTCATATCATATTAGCAAATTAGTCCCACTTGTTCTACTTGCTGTTCAAATTATTTTTGTGGTTTATCAATTCTGTTTCCAGATATATTGCGGTACTCAGTCAAAAATTCCCCAAGATTGAATTTAAGGAGCTTATTTCTCTCGTAGAAGATATTTCTTCCAACTATGAAGGATGCTGTGAAGGGGATGTTGTGCAGTGCATCCGTGACACGGTAAATATTCTCTAAAACCAAGTTAAAATAGTGATTTTTGGCAACTATTTTTTTTTTTTTTATTCTCAAGTTGCCCTGATGTGTGGTTACTTTGCCCCAGTGAAATCAGAATGTAATTTTACTTTTGAATGACAGCATAAAATGAAATATAAATTTTTTTTATAAACAAACCTTTGGGATTTTTTATATTTGGAATTTTTAAAGATTACTCAGCAGATTGTATATTGGATGGCTAAATGTCTTGATGTAAAACTTCAGGAATTTCAAATTTTTCAAAGTTCATTTAGTCCAGATTGAAGTTTTCTCTTACATTATAAATCCTCTTTTAGAGAGGTTAGAAACAAATAGTAAAGTTCAAGGAATGACTAGTTATCATTATGTTTTTAAGAGCTGATTTCCCTGAGCTTCCTTAGGCTATTCAGGTATAGTCTTTCCAAATAAGCGGATACATTAATTTAACTTTTCCCTTTCTCTTTCGGTTTCCTTTCCCTACCTTCTTCCTTCCCTTTTCCTGTCCCCTCCTTTTCCCCTTTCCTTTCCTTCCACTTTCCGTTTCCTTTCCTGCCTTTAACTGACAATTAAAAATTGTATATTCTCATGGTATACATGATATATATATGTGTGTACTATATATATCATGATATATATGCGTATATATTAATGTATACATACACACACATTGTGGAATGTCTAAATCCAACTATTTAAGATATGCATTACCTCACATACTTTTTTTTGTGGTGAGAATACTCTAAATCTTAGCAATTTTAAAGTACTCAATATAGTGGTATGAAGTCATCATTCAGTCACTATGATGTACAAGAGATCTCTTGAATATATTCCTTCTGTCTAAATGAAATTTTGCGGCCTTTAACCAACATTTCCCCAATCCCCAGCCTCTGGAAACCTTTAAACTGAATTTCCAAGGAAAAGTATTGGTATGAATATTGTTGGCATAGTTTGAATTGTTCATGCATTCTGTTCTCACTCATAAGTGGGAGCTGAACAATGACAACACATGGACACAGGGAGGGGAACAACACACACTGGGGCATGTTGGGTTGAGGTTGGGTGGTGAAGGGAGAGCATCAAAATAGCTCATGCATGCGGGGCTTCAAACCTAGGTGACGAGTTGATAAGTGCAGCAACCCACCATGGCACACGTATACCTATGTAACAAGCCTGCACATTCTGAACATCTGTACATGTATCCTGGAACTTAAAGTGAAAAAAAAATTGTTCATGCATTCAAAGGTAATATAATTTTATTTAAAAAAAAACTGAGTATGATAGATTGCACCTGTAATTGCAGCCACTCAGGACTCAAGAAGCTAAGGAGGGAGGCTTGCTTGAGTCAGGAGTTCGAGGATACAGTACAGTGAGCTATAATTCCAACACCCTTGGCAATAGAATGAGACCTTATTTAAAAAAAAAAAAAAGAAAGAAAGAAAAAGAAAGAAAAGAAAGAAAGAAAGGAAGGAAGGAAAAAGGAAAGAAAGAAAGAAAGATTAGACTTTTAGGCTCACAGTGACGATAGCATGTCAATTCAATAACTTGAATTTTAGGGTATTGAGAAATGTTTATTTCAAGCAACGTACAACAGATGTTCCCAATAATTATTTTTGTTCCTAACTGTACCCAAGTTAAAGCAATCTCTTTTATGCTTTATTTTTGTATTGCTTGATTGTTCATGGTGATGTAGGTTTTATAATGTGAAATCTAAGATACTGAATTCAGACATAATTATAGGTTTTCTGTGAAATTTGAGACTGAGATTAAGGGATTATGTCTCAAATTTCCTTCTTTTTAATGTCTTTCTGGAGAAATAAGAGGAACTGAATTACAGTTAACTGAAAATAGAAGTAACTTCTCAGAGAATAAGAGATACTCTGCCTAGAACAATGATGGCATCACATGAGATGTAAATGTCTTTTTGAAGATTGGCTTCCTGGTTCTGTGTGGTTTGTTAGAAACGTGGTGCCAATGCCCATTTTATTTTTTACCTCAGTCCTGAGCTTCATCTTATTCCTTATCCTCCATGTTCACCAGAAGATTCCAGTCAGTGGAAATAGCTTGAGTAAAGTCATAAAGGCCTGAAATAGTCTAGTGTGTTGCTGTAACTCAACATAATTCAAGTGGGACTGCAACAGAGAGTGGAAATAATGTGCAGTCTCATTCGAGAGTCTGGAAGGGCCCGGATCAGCTTTTTAAAATTATTCAACTAATGTGTAAATAAGATAACCCCACCCCCTCTCTAATTTCCAACTCTTATGTAGAGGTTAGAACTGGGGCAAAGGGTAGGGATGGGGACACAGTAAAGTTTTCTATTTGAGCGGTATTTGCTAACTTGAACAGCTTCAAATGAATGATATCCATTAGAAAATGATATCCATTAGAAAATGATACCATGAGTGGAGTAGCTTCTTATATTTGATGAATCGTCTTCTGGTAGTTGCTGCAGTTCATTCGCTTGTCATTCTTTCATTCACTTATCAAATATTTACTGAGTTTTTGCCATGTGCTTGGCCACAAGGGAAGACCAGGATTATAGGTATTATAGTAACATGTCTTTGGTGGTCTCCACTGAAAGCACAGGTGGACTCTTATGGAAAAGAAACAACATTTAGAATATAAGATGTCAATATATCAGTATAGGAATGTTATTTAAAAGACTAATGCTTAATAATGGATGTGAACCTATAGTAGAGCCTATTTTTAAATAATTATATCATCTTAAATCCTGAGAAGTTTTGATGTAAAACTTCATGTGCATTATGTAAATCCAAAATTTAATTTAAATAAATATTGTCTATCAAATTAATTGATAAAGTGATTCCAGATGCTGTGATCATGACTGGTTTTGCATGCCATCATTCCATAATGGAAGAAAACCCAGCCTTGAAGAAATTTTGAAAGTAAAATAATCTCTCATTCTTATTTGGTACAGAGCAAGGTTATGAACCATATTTGTTCAAAACAAGATTCTATCTCCAGCAAAATCAAAGAGTGCTGTGAAAAGAAAATACCAGAGCGTGGCCAGTGCATAATTAACTCAAATAAAGATGATAGACCAAAGGATTTATCTCTAAGAGAAGCAAAATTTACTGACAGTGAAAATGTGTGTCAAGAACGAGATGCTGACCCAGACATCTTCTTTGCGAAGTAATATAACTCTTTATTGAATTTATAAGGAAAACAGAAAGAAACTTGTAAGATTTGACTTATGTTGCTAATTTAGGTGGAAGGACATGGTACCATTTATTTCACTAGGTATCATATAATTTTAAAAAAATCCTGTGTATAGACTATAGTTTTCAGATAATTTTAAGAAAAAAAAACTGTATTATTAAAATAATGGCTAGCGTTTGTTGAGCAGTTAATATGTGCCAGGCATGGCACTATATACCCCATACAGATTAACTATTTTAATTCTTACAGCAATCATGCAAAATAAGTACAATTTCTCCCAGTTTTTCAAATGAGCAAGCTGAGATACAATGAAGTGAATTGTTCAGATTCACAACTAAAAAGTGACAGAGTAAGAATTTGACTCCAGGAAGCCTGGCCTAACAAGTTGTAGGCTTAACTGCTATACTATGCCACCTACAACTCTTAAGGGGAAGACTAGTGAACTTGGAGCCACAGGGACTATATTTCAGTTCTGGTTGAGTCGCTGGGAGAAGTTAACCTTTCTGAGCTTTTTTTTGGTCATGTATAAAATTCATATAAGAATACTAATTCATCTGTAATCCCAGCTACTCGGGAGGCTGAGGCAGAGAATTGCTTGAACCTGGGAGGCAGAGGTTGCTGTGAGCCGAGATCACGCCACTGCACTCTGCACTCCAGCCTGGGCGACAGAGTGAGACTGTCTAAAAAAAAAAAAATTTATTAATTTGAAGTTTATTAGTAATGTAATATAATCCAGGGACTTCACTGGTTTTTTTTTTTTTTTTTAAATCCCCAGGAAGCCTTCATCTATAGAGAGTATAAAGTGAGAAGAGACAGACATAAATAAATAAGTGTGAAAAATGTTCTTTTATTTCTGATAGCATCCTGTTCTAGGTAATGCAGGGGAACAGAAGAAGAAATGGTCAGTTGTATATGGGGACCGTGGAATGGCTTGATAGGGAAGTAGTACTTGAAGAAATTTTGGTAATCTAAATAGAGAAGGTAAAGCATGAATTAAAAATATAATGGTTTGGTGTAAATTGCTGTGAGTAGGGCATCTGCAGTGAGAGACCAGCACGGTGAGAGGTAGGTGGGGCCAGATTATGCAGGCATGCTAAGAAATGGGATGCCACTGAATGGTTTTCATGAAAGAATAAGGAAGGAAAAAATCACTTTCAGTTTTTAGACACTTCATCTGGAGAAAATCCCAGTTTGGGACTTGGATAACTGGGTAGGTAGTTTTCCCATTCAACATGAAAAAGCAGCAGGTTTTGTGAGAAAGGTAATATGTTTAAGAATGAGCACATTGACTTTGAGGTGCCAGTAGAATAACTAATTGGGACTATCAGGAGATAATTTTGTACGTGAACCTGTAGCTCTAGAAGGGAATCTGGCTTGAAATCTCGGACATAACAACAGCTAATGTTTACTGAATACTTACTAAATTTTAAGTGTTTCTCATCTACTAACCAACCAAATTTTCAAAGCAACCCTCTGAGGTTAGTATACTTTCATAATCTTTATTTTTCAGGTAATAAAACAGGCACAGAGAGGTTAAGTAACTTACCCAAAGTCACACATGTGGTGCAGCCAGGATTCAAGTGCAGGCAGTGTGGCTCCAAATTCCTGGTCTTATAACTACTGTCCTCTATGGCTTCTCACGGTTGTGGATATTACATCAAATTCAATTAAACAAAATGATAGATTGTATCTGAAATATGTGTTTGATAGATAAAAGCCATTTTTATAATCATTACTATTATACATAAAAAGTGTTTGAAACATGGGAAGAAATGATAGAGTAACAGTGAGCACGCCAAGTCAGAGTCCTCACTGTTTCAAGGTAGAATCTTTCTGGATGTGAACATTTCAAGCAAGTCCTCAGTGGCTTCTCCAGTCTAGAGTAAGCTTCCAGGGATTTTTCTTTGCAGCATTCTGAGACATGTTTTTAGTTGTGTGTGTGTGTGTGTGTGTGCGTGTGTGTGTGTGTGTGTGTGTCTCCCCCCCGAGAAGAAGTCCATGGCTTACATGAGATATTAAGAGGAGCCCTGATTCTCTGAAGGTTAAGAGAAGGTTAAGCACCACTGCCATGGGATATGGGAATATATCTCACAAATGGAATTGGAAAAGCAAATGGGAAGCTGGAGAGATGGTGTCAGAAAAATCAAGATTAATCAAGAAGGTCAAATTCTGAAAAAAATGTGGGGGAGGGGATGAAAAGAGTTACCTGGTCATGAAAAACTAGTGAGGTATTGCTCTTACAAAACATGAAAGATCTTAACTTGCTGTGAATGAATAGATGAGATTCTTTTTTATGAAGACTATAAATAGCCCAGCTGAGGCACTTAGAAATGACTTCTTTTTTTTGAGAAAAGTTAGCTTGGTTAAAAAAAAGAATGGAGTAATGGGACTTAGGGTCAAATTTTATATTTGCCATTAACAGGAAGGTGCTTAACCAGTTTGTGATTTAGTTTCTTCAGCTGTAAAATAGTATGCATCTTGAGGACTAAGTGAAGTGAAATGAGAAAGTGTTTACAAAGTTCAGGAAGCACATCTATATCTGTTATGCCCAAAGTTTGATCCAGTGCCTAGCACCTACTAAGGGCTTAATAACTGTTAGCCTTGTTCCTCTCTTTCTTCCCAAATCACACACACCTATGCTCTTGAAGTCTTTGACAGAGGATTTGGAAGCCACTGCCGGTGATTTGGAGCTGAAGGGGTAAACAATCCCATATTTGGCAAGCGACAGGATGGAGTAATGGGCAAAGCTTCCTCCCTGTCTCTCACGAAGACCACATTGTGGGTGGGAAGGAAGCCATATTCCCAGCATCCCAAGTTGGAAATCTGAATGCATTTTCAAACATAATTCTATGCAATATGTATTTTTTAAAGTATATTCACAATATATTCTTTCTGATGTTTTATGGATTAAATCATTCCAATAATTAGTTCCAAATAACTCTACTAATTCTCTCTTCTCAAAAAACATTGTTAATAAAATGTACCATGGAAGATAACTTTTGTAAAATGATCTTCTATAGCCACAATGTCCTATTAAATTACTCTGTGACCAAGCCAGAGGAGAAAATTAGCTTTTGAAAGCAGAGGCAGTATTAGATCTGACTGGATTACAAAATAGTGGAATTGGGTTTTTTGCTCTTTCTCTAATTTCTAACATACAAAATTTTACACATTGCAGGTTTACTTTTGAATACTCAAGGAGACATCCAGACCTGTCTATACCAGGGCTTTTAAGAATTGTTCAAATATACAAAGATCTCCTGAGAAATTGCTGCAACACAGAAAACCCTCCAGGTTGTTACCGTTACGCGGTAGGTTCCATCGTTGTAGGTTCAGAAAATCAAAACAGAACAACTATAAAACACTTAAAAATTGATATCAGAATTTTGCTCCAGTCTAGGGGGTAGAAAATGTGATTGGTTAATCTGAGTCTACCGTAGACTCAGCCTAAGAAGATCATTGGGAAGGCCAATGTCATCAATTTGGCTGATGCCTAATGTTTTGGACTACTAATCCAACGTGTTAATTCAAAAAATTCTTCCCAGTAAACATTTTAAATTTACATTTTTATTTATGTATTCTGTATTTTATTAAGCCATATTGGATATTACATGATTTCAAAAGTAATGATTGTTGTAGATGACTAAGAAAGTATTCTGTATTTTATTAAGCCATATTGGATTCTTTATGATTTCAAAAGTAATGATTGATTGTTGTTGATTATCAGGAAAGCACCAAAGGTTACAAAAAACCCTTTTCTGATTCTCCCACCAGGAAATAGCTATAATTAACATTTTTATTCAACGCTTCAGTACATATACGTATATATACGTGTATTTTTAAAAAATTGGCATAATTTCTAGAAAATGTTTGGATGCTTTTTTTATTTGGTATCATAGGAAACTTTTTTGTTGTTTTTGTTGTTATAAATTGGGCTTCCTTGGTTTCCTGCTATTGCCACAAAGTGAGAGGCTGTTGGAGGTTTTAAGTTCCAAATCTAAACAATGAAAAAATCATAAAGAGCAACATGATTTAAAATGTTCTGTAACAACACTTACTAGCTAGGGCATTCGGGGTAAGTAACTTAATTTCACAAGGCCAGTTGCCTTTATTTAAAAATGGAGATAACAACTGCTCTGGCCACTTCAGTGAGAATTGAATGTTATTATGTCAACGTACATTTTAAATTCTATTTTGTTATTTGGAAGACTCTGAAATATGTATAAGCTGATAATAAAAAATTTGGACTTTTAAATTTAGCAAGAAATTTATATATATATATATAACTAAAGAAATTAAGTTCTTGCACACACATGTAAAAAGTGCCCTGAATAATAATGAGAGTTTGAAAATACCATAGAAATAAGAAATGCTATTCTACACATTGTTGTAAAGCTTATGGTTAAATTTTAGATAAAATATTTGTAACCATGATTATTCTTATTTTCAGGAAGACAAATTCAATGAGACAACTGAGAAAAGTCTTAAGATGGTACAACAAGAATGTAAACATTTCCAGAATTTGGGGAAGGATGGTTTGACATACCAGTAGGTTGTCTGCACAAGTGGGCTAACGCTTGCCACTAGAATTAAACACATAATCCCTCAAAGCGTAAAAAAAGTTACCTCTCAAGTTTTTCAATTATAGTCAATTCATAAACTCTTGGAAGAATTTTTTTTTTTGAAGTCAAGAATGCCTATTGAACTGTCACATTAATCTTTTATCAGAAGTGAAGCTAAAAATAAAAGAAATACAGATTCTGGAGACATTGATTCTCTAATGCTTTCGTTTCTGTTTGACATTGGCTTTCTCACTGTCAATCTAGAATCCCTGGATTCTCACCCATTTGAAAGTGGGGTGTTGCATATTTCAGGTTGTTACAGTTTCTTTGGGGAAGAGATGGTTTGCCTTGCCTTGCCTTAAGGCTATCTTAACTGAGTTTATAGAAATAACTCTGGATGTGCTTAACACTTTAATATTTAGTTTTTTAGTGCTCTTGTGAGCATTTGTGAATAATATGCAGTTTGGGTTTTTTTCAATTATTATGCCAATGTATTTTATTATCATTATTGTTATTGTTATTATTATTATTACCATATATTTTTGTGACAGGGTCTCTCTGTCACCCAGGCTGGAGTGCAGTGGTGTGATCCAGCTCACTGCAATCTCTGCCTCACAACTCAAGTGATCCTCCCAAGTCAGCCTCCCAAATAGCTAGGGCTACAGACGCGAGCCACCATGCCTGGCTGATGTTTGTATTTTTTGGTAGAGACGGGGTTTTGCCATGTTGCACAGGCTGGTCTTGAACTTCTGAGCTCAAGCAATCCAACCCTTGGGAATTGCTGGGATTACAGGTGTGAGCCACTGCACCTGGCCTCATGCTAATGTATTATTTATTGAAACTAAACATCTTTAAATCAAAATAAGACACAGTTAAAAAAATCTGACTTTACTATTTCTACAATTTGGTGTTAGCTGACAATTCAAACTTAGTTCATTAAAAATCTTAGTTTCCTTCATCTCAGGTTATCCTTTTACAATATATATTGATTAAATTTTTTCTTTAAAATATTTTATAATGATACAAATGATTTTAAGGAGGATTTTAGATACTAGCCAATGTATTTGCTGTCAAGGAGCTCCTATACTCAAAGATAACACAGGGAGGCAAATCTAAGAGTTTCTGAGACATCCATGAAATTAGAAAAGAAGCTAAAATAGATATAGGGAGCAGGGTGCAGAAAAACAGGAAGTGAAGACATATTTCTCTATTTTACAAGAGAGCTAAGGTTCATGTTGCACCTATATTGGTTGTCCCTAGCCTTGAAGGGTCTGGGCTTCAGCAATAATTCAAGGCAAAATGGGTATCTGCTTTCGTTCAGAACCAAATAGACAAATGTTCTTTCAGGTACCTTATCAGACTCACGAAGATAGCTCCCCAGCTCTCCTCTGAAGAACTGGTCTCTCTTGGCAAGAAAATGGTGACAGCTTTCACTACTTGCTGCACACTGAGTGAAGAGTTTGCCTGTGTTGATAATTTGGTGAGCATGGCCTGTGTACCAGATTATTCTTTAAAAAAAAAAAAAAAAAAGAATATTTGCACTCGTTGATTTACCATGATTATCCATATTCATTTCTTCATTGTTTTTAATATTGTTAAGCATAAATTGTCAAGTTTTCCTTTTGGCTCACTTTGTAAAAACCCTAAGAAGTAAAAGAGAATGCCTTAAATATTTTTGGAGAGTGCTTCAAAGTATCTTTCTTATTTCTTCATTGTATTAGAAGGGATTTGTTAGGACAAATGATTTAGGAATCATAATATTGTTTCAAAGAGATACAGGAAAATTTATAATTTTAAGTAAGGTTACAGATTCTTCCTCTTGGCCCAATTGCTTCATCCAGCAACCAGGCATTGAATACATATCTTTAGGGCTGGGGTGGAGAGTACCTTGAGGGAGATTCCGGGAGGGGAAGAAACCCAAGGATTACAGTATTTGATTGTCCCTTTCAGTTGGCTGTTTGCAGCTGTCTGTTTGCAATTGAAAGTTTGTTTATATGTTACCAAGAAATTAATTTGTAGGCATCTGAATTGTTATGGCTTGGATTTTGGTCATAATGCCATTTAGGACCCCATTTTCTACTTTTATTTGTGCATAGTGATATGTCATGAGTGCGTGTGTTTTATGAGTGAGGTTAACAGTGATCTTAGAATGATCTAACTATTCATCTAACCATATTTTTAGAAATTCCATCCGAGTTTTAAGATCATATCTGAGTTGCAACTCTTGTTGGTACAGGCAGATTTAGTTCTTGGAGAGTTATGTGGAGTAAATGAAAATCGAACTATCAACCCTGCTGTGGACCACTGTTGTAAAACAAACTTTGCCTTCAGAAGGCCCTGCTTTGAGAGTTTGAAAGCTGATAAAACATATGTGCCTCCACCTTTCTCTCAAGATTTATTTACCTTTCATGCAGACATGTGTCAATCTCAGAATGAGGAGCTTCAGAGGAAGACAGACAGGTACAAACAATCCCTTCCATTCCTGTTTTTCTTCAGTTTGCAGACACACCATGTAGTAGTGAGAAGGTTTATGTAGTGGATATGTGTTTTTCATATTACTATCCTGTTCCTTCCACCAAATTGTCCAGTCTCTTCTATTTGGAAAATTACCAGTGCATTTTTTTTTTTTTTTTTTTTTTTTTGCCATTGTTCATATCTAGCTTGTCTTTTCATTTGAAAGAGACTTGGAGTGTCCAAGTCTAACATCACCTTTAAAAAGGTTACAGCAGCCAGCCAAAAGGTTCATAGACTGGCTGATAATGAATTTCATTTCCTTGAGAGAATGTCCGGAGAATATCACTTAATGTTTACAAAGGAGAAGCCCAAAGGGACAGGAAGTTTACTTTCATTTTCTCAACAAATGCTTTAAAATGCCAAGAAATTAAACTTAGTTTTCTGGATTCAGACAGAGTCTACCTAATGTGTAGTGGAGACTACACAATATACAGCTACCAAATACGAGGAACTGGAGGTTGTTTTGGACATGAATTTTCTAGAAAGATCAGATGTAGTCATGTATACCATAATACTTGGCATAATAAAGGCCTACTATATGTTTTCATTTTTAGATAGAATAATACTTACTCTTATTATGTGCAATATTCATACATTCACAGTGTAATTCACTCTTGTATTTTCCAGCCCATTCTATTCTAGTCTGGTCTATTTTATTCTTTTTAACTATCCTGTTTTCATTTTAAAAATGAAAGTGAGAAAATGCAAACTTTTGTTAATTCTTAGATCTAAGGATGGGCACACATGACTTATTACATTATCCTCTTTACTTTGGTGCATGAAAATTTTATTACTTAAAATAATTACTCTAAAAATTTACTCTAAAATGTACTTTTAAGACATCAATGGGTTGCCACCTGAAGTTTGGAATTCTATAAGTTAGTGGAATACTGGAATTCTAGAAGTTACTAGAAATCAAGGAAATCATTATTGTCTATGGCTGTTGTCACACTTAGTTGTGATAGCTTATTTTTTTTAAATTGCTTCTTTGACATCATTTTTTAACTGACATATAATAGTTATACATATTTTGGGGGTACATGTGATATTTTGATAACTGCATAAACATGTAATGATCAAGTCAGGGTAATTGGAATATCCATAATCTAAAACATTTATCTTTTCTTTGTTTTGGGAACATTATAATTCTTCTCTTCTAGCTACTTTGAAATATACAATAAATTACTGTTAACTATAATTTTCCTACTATACTATTGAACACTAGAACTTATTACTTCTAACTGTATTTTTGTACCCCTTAACCAACTTCTCTTCGTCCCACTCTTCCTCCTTGTTAATACTTTTTGTATAATTTTGTGTGTGACAAAACCCTTCAAAGAATGTTACTGTGGAAACCATTCTCTAAATTTAATAGGAAAGTTTCAGAAGGCCCATTCAACGTGGGATATTTCAACTCTTTACCCTCACCCAAGCTGAGACTCAAGACGTGATTCCGTAACAAGCATTTTGGAGTAGAGACGCTTCAGAAAGAAATTGTTAATTAATTCTATTTGACATCTTTTGGCCACAGGTTTCTTGTCAACGTAGTGAAGCTGAAGCATGAACTCACAGATGAGGAGCTGCAGTCTTTGTTTACCAATTTCACAAATGCAGTGGAGAAGTGCTGCAAAGCAGAGAGTCCTAAAGTCTGCTTTAATGAAGAGGTAGTTTTGTTTCTTTTCTGCTGAAATTCAACTGGTATTCCTGGTCAAATAAAACCAAACAGAACCCTGTAGGACTCTGCTTCCTCTCTACAGTGTCTACCAGGACTATATTTGAGAGCACAATTGCTACACAACTAATATGGAGACATCTCTGAAATACACTTTGAGCAATGTCTCCTTAGCACAGAAAAAGCTATTAGGAAGACCTGGGTTGTAACCCCGGCAGTCTTGTAAGTCATGCAACTTAAACTGAATGGCAATTAACGATCTGTAAATGAAGATGGTAATAATTATTCCTGAATTACACCTTTGGTTCTTATTTTTTGGTTTTGAACCACTCATTATCTTAATAAGACAGAGTCAAAGCGACTTGCAAAGGAAATCATAAGCAACTCCAAATGGAGTGGAGCAGGAATGGTATTAGAATGTGAACTCTTTCAGGAATGGCTCTCTCACTTTGCCAGGCCTTGTACTAACATCCTGCAGTTGAGAATAATGAGGGAGTGGAGGGTAAGGGTAGTCAGGGAGAAAAGGGAGAAATGTCCCTTGCTTGCCCTCACTCCAGTGAAGGTGGTCTGTAGCCATTTGCTCTGGTGTGAACCTCAGCAACCTGTGAATGTTAGCCCCAATGGATGGCTCCATGGAAATACCTGTTCACTGTTTTCCAACTTTATTTCTCACCGTTTCTTTTCTAGGAACACTCACTCCACTCCAAACTCACAATTCATGTAAATTCACAGGCACACAAACTCACATGCATCATTCATTCTGGTTGTGAGCCATCTACTTTTCTGAGTGACACTTAGTTTGTGGAAATTGTTTTGGGAGTACATATTATTAGTTTTTTAAAAATATACTTAGTTTTAAGTAGAGGATATTAATCAATATCTAGCATTTATCTGAGTGAGTGTGTGCATTAGTGCCATGTGAAGGAAAGGATGAATTTATTGGCAGTTGTAAAGAGCCGTTTGGTGTCTATTTCTTCACTAGAAGGAAGAATGTTTACTGTTTCCCTATACAATGTGGGAATGATTTAATTTTCTTCAAAATTCAGGGAAACATGCTTATCTAAATTTAAATTAGTGTCTTAAATTTTTCTTCCTATATGTTTTTATTTCCATCCCTCATCTAAGAGTCCAAAAATTGGCAACTGAAGTCAGCTGCTGGAGATATGTAAAGTAAAAAGCACCAAAGGTAATACCCTCTGCCTCAATCAAATGTCAAATTTATTTGTGGTTTATTTGGTCTCCCTACCTTTTCTCCCTCAGGCTTCATTGCCTATTTCTGGTTCACCCTACATGAACCAGAAATAGACATGTAGCTAACAGCCCCCGATATTGTTTCTGTGTTTTTCTGGGTATCAGCCACTCCTTACAGTGTGGCAATGCTGCATTTGTGCTAGCCCTTCTCTTGCTGTTCAACTAGTTTTCTAGATAGCCAAGAGGCGCTTAAGTCCTCTGCTTTCCTACTAAGGTATTCAGCTGTCTGGACCACAAAGGAGAGATGATGGAACCTCTGAATATTGACAGAAAGAAGAGGGGTAACTCCCTGGGGACTGAGGTGGGCAGACAGGCTTCAGTGACCCTTTCCGATAATCTTTTAAGAATGTTGCTTTACTGAGATATGATTGACATACAGACTAAGGGTATTGCTACAGCATTTACATAAACAAAAGTGATGTTTGTGATTTCCAAAAGATACATAAAGATGCCCTCTCTTTTGTGGCTTATGTAAGACTTGAAACACAAACTTTAGCAACAAAATGTTGCATAGATATAGGAATTATATACAGTGTCAGTGAAGAGAGGCCTGGACCTCAACAGAAGGTAGGTGGGGATCTACAAGGGGCAAAACACAGTTACAATTAGTAGTTTTTTCAAATATTTGACTTTCTATCACCCATGTTTTAACATTTCATATTTTTTTGATGCATAAAATACTATTTTTTCTTTCCAGGGATAACCAACTTACAGGCTTCCTATCTGTGTGGTGATGAATCTCATTTCCTGAGAACAAAGTAAAAGGATTTTTCTGCAACTGTCGCCTGAAATCGTATATTGCAGCAAGCAATAAACACAAAATTTTGTAAAGTTATTTTTCAGACTGATGTCATAAATCAACCTAATCACAAAATTAAGCAATCATGATTCATTCATTCCATCAGCATCTTTTGCTCATATGGCTGCACCATTCCCTACTCCATGAAAGTTGGAAGTCTATGCTCTCAGATGTCCTTGCCACGACCGGAAAGAAAACTGAGAATTTGGGGCATGAAACTTTACTGCTACAACTACTGCTACTACTAGTAGATGACATTGAATGTTTTCAATGTACCAAACATTGTTCTAGCCAGTTTTCATGCATTATTTCATTTAATCTAATAACTCTATGAGTAGGTATTATTTTCATTTACATTTTACAAACAGGAAAACTAAGGCTTGGGGAGATAAACTAATGTGTTCAATGTGATATGACTGGTAATTGGCAGAACCAGCGTTTGAATTTAGGTTCTCTAATTCTAGAATTATATATATATATGATATATATGTATGTATGTATATAACATATACATTATATATTATGTAATAATAATGCAATATATTATATAATACTATATAATGTATTACATTACTATAATATATTATACATATCTAATATATATTATATAACACATAACATAATATATAGTTCTAGAATTATATATGTTTAATAATTTCAACTTTTATTTTAGATATAGAGGGTGCATGTACATGTTTGTTACACGTGTATATTGCATGATGCTGAGGTTTGGAGTATAGATCCCATCACCCAAGTAGCAAGCATAGCACCCAATAGGTAGTTTTTCAACCCATACCCCTCTCCCTCCCACCCCTCTGTAGTAGTCCCCAGTATCTATTGTTCCTGTCTTTATGTCCCTGTGTACTCAATGTTTAGCTCCCACGGTATTTGGTTTGAAGTTGGGTAGTGTGATGCCTCCAGCTTTGTGGAACAATATTGTTAACCATTGCATACACTACCTCTTAGGTGTGGCCGTGTTGCATGCCTTACAAAATCTGTTATTCAGAGAGGCGGAAGAATGTACAAGGCAACAATTACAGTGGTGGTTTTCTCCCTCCATTCCAAGCCAAAATTCTTGTTATGTTAGTGATATAAACGCTTGATATTGGTATCAAAGGAGAAGTAACTCAGGAAATGAAGACTGGTCATGAACTTATGGCCTGGCTCTCCTGATGTTTCTCTAAACTTTGAAGATTTTTGTATACCAAGGTCTAAATTTGAAGATGATGGACATTTAATACATAATACATGAGGATATTCATAGAGTTCTTTTGGTAGAGTGTTTAGAGCATAGTCTTTGGGATTCTCATTGATTTATTCAACAAATATTTATTAGAATTCTATTGTGTGTCAGACATTGTGGATACAAATATGAGCTAGATAGACTTGGCTTCTGTTTCTTGCTGAGCAAGGGACAGGGACAATAAACACTCAATCACATTTCAATGTCATACGTGCAGGGTCCAGGCACTCACTCTAAGCTGAAGGTGCAGAATGAGAAAGGGATGGGGGTGGGTGCTTCATATCCCTACTGCCATTAATTTACTGTACAGCCCCAGATAAGTTCCTTATACTCTATGACATCCATTTCTTTGTGTAGGATGGGCTAATATCAAGTCACAAAGGCTTTAGAGAAATGAATTAAATTATTATATAAAGTACTTAACACATTGGCCAGCAGATAACAGGTTTTTAACTCATAGAGCTATTTTGTCCTCTAACCATTTTCTCCAAGCACTCTCATTTACCAATGAGGATAACAAGGAAGTATTGCCTTACTTAAACAATAGATAGTAGATTTAGAAAACGGAATTGAAACAAAGCATAATTAGTGAATCTAATTTTATACTGGATTCTGCTATGTATTCAATACTATGCGAAGAGAAGCAGATACAAAATCAGGGACCCAGGCACTTGCCGCCATCATAAAGTTTCTATTATGGCAGCGGAAACTGCCATACAACTCTTTCTCTACTGACATGCCAGAAAACATATTAATCAAAGCAGGAAAGGAGGGAGAAGAATGGCTTCTGCAAAAGACACAGTTGCCTGAAGAGGAGGAGATTTGGAGTGGGTATGAAATAGTCTTACTCTGTATTACTTGGACAGAACTCATACCAATGAAGAGAACATAACTGGTTTGATGCAGAAAAAAATTTTCTAACACTAGAGATGCTTACACATGTGATAAGCCTCCTGGTGCAATACTCAATGCCAAGACTGCATGTGCCTGAGCAGCTACCACCTGGGTTTTTGGTTGGATCCAGTCATGGTCTTTCCAAGGCCTCTTTGAACTCTGTTTCTATGACCTGGACAAGAATTAAGTCTTCTATGAAAATAGTGTTTATTAAAAATCATCACTGCATCTTGTACTTGCATACCTTCAATATTTTATCTTAAAGGCCAGCCTGAAGAGTTTACTTACTTCTAGAGCCAATTCTGTGCTGGTGTCTATTGAGTGGTATCACAAAACCTATCTCACTACCTTTACTTAAATAATCCTTGCTACTTGTCTTTCCTGTGGTCTGGAATTCTACCACTAGTTACTGATAAAGGACTTAACATTTTAAATATTGTCAATAATCTCTTATTAATTGCAAATGTCTCTGAAGAAAGTTTCCCATGGAAAGTTAATTTTGGTCAGTTATTTTTTTAAGGAGGAATTAGTTTAGCATACATAACAGTTGTTAAAATATTATTAGCATTAATTCCAATCGACTGATAGTGGCTGTCCTGCAGCATTGTGCTGTCAGTGTTTCTAAGACTGAGCCTAAGCTCAGAGAGAAAGAGTGTAGTGATCAGATAGCAGTGTCTGCAGTGGGTGACAGTCTTGGAGTATTCATCAAAAGGATTTGACAAAAAATTGGATTTGGTTTAATAGGTACATATCTGATAGTTCTAGGAAGTTTAGAATAGGATTTCAAGGGAACAACTCTAAGGATACATGACAATAGAGACAGTGAATGTTAAGACTGTTTAGAGGACTTCAAAATGAATGATGGAGACCTGCCAAAGATAGTCTTCCCCTTGCTGATCTTGGTGAGCTTTCTATCACCCTGGGTCATTCATATTCTTTACAATAAGCCAAAGTGTCCCAAAACTACATAATAGCAGATGTTTTGGGGTTGTTTTTCAGTCAAATACATCTCTCTTACTTGTGATATATTTTTGCTTAGAAAACTGGTATTGAAAATATGTGAGTAGCAGAATCAAGTAATATACTGTCAGCCTTACAGCTTATTTAAAAATGAGGAAATTGAGAAGAGAATAGTGAAAATAATAACCCGTGATGTCCCATTTTCAAAATTTTAGACTTTACATGTATAGGCATCTTACAATTGTCATTTAGTAAGTAATTACCTGTTTCCTGCCTTAGACCCAAGAATTGGTTGATAGGCAAAGCAGACAATAGCTGAGGGATACTGGTATCTCAGCATTAACACTAGCTCTTGGATATGTGGGTTGTAAAATCAGACAGACATGAATTTTTACCTGTGAGTCTATGAACAAATTATGTGACTCTGAGTCTTAATTTCTCATTCAAGAAATACTAATATTGCCAACTATCTGAGAGTTATATAAAGTGACCATAGTAAGTGTTCGATAAATTAGGTCCCATTCTTTTAGGTTCACTCCCAATGCTTGTATGGCTCTTAAATCCCCTTCTCCCCAGGGACTTGAAAATGTACCCAGCATTAGAACCTGAGCCCTGACCAGTTAGTCAATCTGTGGTAGTATGTGTTTATCTTCTTCCCTTCCACTTTAGAACTTTGGACATGTCAACAATCATTTCTAAGAAATGAGGTATTGCAGACCAACATTTGCCAAGAGTGTTTATGGATTACTTAATTACAAAGTCTACATGTTGAAATCTTAAAGAAACAAGCAGACTGATGTGACTTGTTTAAAAATGCAGTATTCATTAATGAATTCAGTCCATCAACAATATTTCTTCATTGTCATAGATTTCCTCGATTTTACCGAGGTCATAGATGCTTGGAAAAAATATTCACCAGAAAAA